CCACGAGGTGTCCCTTATTTATTTCTCAGGGAGTTGGCAACCCTACATGTGTGCACCCTCAAATGTATTTATGTGCTTAAGAATGTCTGATTGTGTACTCAAATTAATGACTTTGTAAATCAAAATGTAAAAGTGTATTCATTCTTACATGCATTACAGCTGAAATTTTTTATATAATCCTTTAAATACTCACAAATGTTAGAATATGCACAAAAATGATGACAAATTGTGTGCATAATTTTTTTTTTTTACCAGCATACACATTAGAATCAGAAAATGTGAATTCAAAGAAATCAATATAGAAACTTCATTAAACTGACTAATCAAAATTTACAACCTGCTGTTAGAAAATAATAATAATAAGAGAAAACATTTTTAACTCGCTGTATGAAACAAAATTTAAATCCAGAATTGATTTTTTAAAATTCTCCTCACATGTGTCGTCTTGAATAACACAGGTCTGCAACCAAAAAACTGCACAGGATTTTTTGACTGTTTGTTATAGATTTTTACTCTCTGAAACTGGGAAAAATATTTTTAAAATTCCAAAAATCTGGTATCCTATACTTGAGTCAAAAAACCATATCCAATAACGATTTCTAAGAGCAAGAGAATAAAAAATGTGAGGAATTGAGAAGGGGGCGGATACTGTGAGTTCGCGGTGTGAGGAGCTCAGATGGTCCATGTCCCATTCTTCAAGACATCCCAACAGATTTATTTTGTTCAGTGGTAAGGAATCTCAGAAAAATTATGCAAAATTAGTTAATTGTTATAAAATATTGATTTTTTTCATTGCTGTTGTGATTTTTTTTTAATGTAAACTCCTCATGATTTGCAAAAACACTGTATGTGATGGAAATTGAGATCATTTTTAGATTCAGCACCCTAAAATATCATTTTTATTTTCTTTTGCAGACCTGTGTAATCAGGCCTCATCTTAAAGAAGACCTCACTCCAATGCAGTTCACTCTCAGACTGCCTTGTTTAGGATATGTAAACCTTTAAAGCCCAATTTGTGATTTTTATTATTTTAATTTTTTTGGAAAATTGAGTTTTTGAGGATCCTTGTGACAATTTCTTAAGAAATGAAATTTTAATTTGCATATATTTGTTTTCATTTTTCACTTATTTGTTACCTCCAGTTTTGGAGGTCTACACTGATTATGTAGAAGTCTCAAATTGTATGCATCATGTAAGATAAATTTGCCTTTAAAGGGTTGAAAGTTGAATGTATACACCACTCTGCATTTAATCATTACAGCATGCAATATCTGAAATTCTCCTGTTAGCAGCTGATTATGGCTCAGTAAATCTACTCTTTGATATTTGAAACTCAGAGCAAACAGGTTGCTTCAAAACTGTTTAAAAGAGGTACCGCTATACATTCGCTTCACCTACACTGGTCTTTGTTGCATTTTAATGGACAACTCCTCTATATAGCAACTTAAGTAAAACTATTAACCTGATTTTTTTTCTTCCTTTTAAAATCAAGTCTTTGGTAAAATGAACTGGTACTTACATAACACTTTTGTACTCAGTTTTAGCACTTTGTACGTCTCATTCATCTATAAGCACAGGAGGATTTGGAAATGAGCCACTGAAGTTCCAATTAGTGGGCAACCTACTCTGCCACCTGAGTCAATCAATTTCTACAGTCAACAGGAGTTAAGAACTTTCCCAGAATCCAAATTTCTACCAAAGTCTCTAGCAATACTTGTGTCTTTAGTGCTCAGGACCTAGAGAGAAGGCAGATGGGTTGAGAAGTGTATTTTGAAAACATTCAGTTTCTTTGCATTATTAATCTAGAAGGAGCCATCAGAAGATAGGTACACTGGGGTCATGAAGGGATGGACATGGTCCGCCATAATACTCAAGTGGGCTGTGGTGTTAAAGATCATTTAAGGCGCTCAAAGTGTAGCACAGAAATACCCCCACATCATTACACCAGCAGCAGCCTGAACTGTTGATTTGGGATAT